ACACAGTATTCGGTTTTAAAATTTGTAACAGTGCTCAATACAAAATTTGTTGTGGGTAGGTAGATCCATATCCATACAGTGATCGGCATGCGGAATGCACCAACGTGTTTTTGGAAATGTACACTAAAACCGTACAAAAGATTCATGGCGCAAAACATGAATATTGTAGGAAGAGTAATAGGTGGTACTACATTTAGGTACGTAAAAAATGAGAATGTTGGAATTAAAAAAAAAATATTTTTAACATATTTTTAAATGACCCACTAGTCATTGAAAAAATCCTGATTTTTTTTGCAAAAAATTTTTGGTGTTTTTTCTAATATTTTTATACCCTCCACCATAGTATGGAGGGTATATTAGTTTTGTTTTCCATTTGTAACGCATCGAAATAATTATTTCCGACCCTATAAAGTATACATATTCTTGATCAGCGTAAAATTCTATGGCGATTTAAGCCTGTTGTAATTTCTCTAGCTTCTAAACGAATTGAGATAGATCGCCAAAATTTTGCATAGAGTCTTTTGTCTACAGGCAGGTCAATTTTGAATGATGGGCTACATCGGTCCACATTTAGGCATAGCTCCCATATAAGGGTACCCCCCAATTTTTGGTATTTTGAGGTTCCTGAGCGCGTTTTTCAACTGAATTCGCTGAAATTTTGTACTTTTAGTTCTTATTGGGTAGTAAATCTCTCCACTAAAAATTATAAATATGGGTCCATATTTTCGGATAGCCCCCATATAAGGTTACCCCCAATTTTGCGGTATTTTAAGAGGTTTTGATCGCATTTTTCGCTGATATTTGGTACTTTGAATTAATATTGGGTAGCAAATCTCCGTACTAAAAATTATAAATATAGGTCAATTTTTTCGAATAGCCCCCATATAAGGGTACCCCGAATTTTTGGTATTTTGGTTTCTTGGGCGCGTTTTATAACTGAATTCGCTGAAATTTTGTACATTGGGTTCTTATTGGGTACCAAATTATTCCACTAAAAATTATAAATATAGGTCCACTTTTTCTGGTAGTCCCCACATAACGGTACCCCCAAATTTTCGGTATTTTGTGGGTTCTGACAGTATTTTTCGACCGAATTGACTGTAATTTAGTACTTCGAGTTCTTATTTGGTAGCAAATCTCTCCACTATAAATTATATCTATAGGTCCATTTTTTCGGGTAGCCCCCATATAAGGGTACCACCCCATTTTCGATATTTTGCGGTTCTTGTACGCGTGTATCAACAAAATTCTTTGTAAAAATTATTAATATTCGCCCCCTTTTAGGGGTAGTCCCCATAAAAACTGTGGTGATGGCCTTATATAACTGAAACCTCTAAATTTCAGTATTTTGTAGATGTTCCATCCTACCATGCGTCGTCAATATCGATCCACTTTTTGGGGTTTTTGAGAAAAATATACATAAAAATTTCTGAAAGTTGTATTTCATGTATATCGGCAGGCATTCAGGCATCTCCTCCATATAATGATATTTCCGGAAGGAAAGAATTGAGTTACATAGCAAAGTCTCGTATAACTTTGCAATCTAAATTGCAGTGGTTTGTGGATTTTATATTCTACCACAGGTTATTAGTATCAGTCCACGCTTTGGGGGTTTCAGATTTTAGAAAAATCCCCATTAAAAATTGCTGAAATTTATATTTGGTGTACATAATGGTTTACATAAATCCGTTTGTAGAATTATCGGTATAGGTTATTTTTGGTATATTCCCTATATTTTCATATCAAATATCTGTCAATATACCTATGGTGGAGGGTATCCAAAGTTCGGCCCGGTTGAACTTAACGGTTTATTCACTTGTTTTTAAATCCATGCCTGTATTTGGACCATCTAAAATATTTAAAAATCCACGCTTTTGTTTGGACCTTCAAAGAAAATTTTTAAAAATCCACGCTTATATTTGGCCCAAAAATATATTAAAACCAGTGAGCGGAGCAGTATAGTCCGACGGGGCCGACCATATGATACCCTTCACAACTTCCACGAAAATATAACTTTCTGTGGTTCTATATTCTGAGCTTGGGCAATATTTCGTGATATTTGTACCCTCTGGACCATCTAGAGATCAACAAATACTACTAATATTCAGTACATCCCTTCTAATTAATTCCCTTCACCGAGGGTTGTGTTGTGATGGGCTCGAAAAAGCACAAATAAACAAGTTATAGGTCCACTTCATCCAAAAATTATTATCTGATCATCATCGAAATTTATAGGCGTTGTCCTTGGCCATACCTGGATCCTCATGGAAAATTTCTATGCAATCAGCGCTAAATTTTGCTGCTAGTGTGCTTATTCTTTGGCCCGATTCCCTTCTCCATGAGATTTTTGGGTCATAATTGCGGCCCCTGGGAGGACCAGAAAATCAGATAAAATAAAGTTTTTGGTCCATTTAATCCCCTAAATGTTAATCGATCATTACTAAAAACAATAGGGGGTCTTCATTGGCCATAACCCATCCTACATAAAAAATTTCGTGAAGATTGGTTCATAACTGTGGCCTGTATCGTGTTTACAAATTATAATGGACAGATGGACGGACAGATCGACTCAGCTAGTGGAGATATGATCGGTATACAAAAGGGTGGGACTTGGACCAATTTTTTGCGGTGCTACAAACTCCTGGGGCTCCACAAAGCTATAATACCCTGATAACATAGCTGTGTCGGATATAGAAATTGATGAATTTTTAAAAACCAGTGAGCGGAGCAGTATAGACTTACGGGCCGACCATATTATACCCTCCACAACTACCACGGAACTCTATCTTTCTGCGGTTCTATATTTTGAAACTGGGCAATATTTCGTGTTATTTGCACCCTCTTGTTCGATTATAGGTCAACAGCTCCACTTTCTAACCCTGGCATATTTTCCATTTTTTCTTGAAGTGAATTTTTACGCCATAAAATAAAAAACTGGTCACTTTAGGTTTTGGTTGATTTGACCCTCGGAATATTGACCGATCATCATCTAAACAGCCGCTCTAAGTATTTGGTCACATCCCCTTCACCTTGTGAAATATGCTATGTTCTGTATATAATACTTGCCTCACACACATGTCTAGATCGATTCAGCTAGTCGAGATATGACGATCGGTATACTTAAAGGATCTAGGACCAATATTTCGCGGCGTTACAAACTCTTGAGGCTGCACAAAGCTATAATACCCTGACAACATAATTGTGTAGGGTATAACGAAAGTGAACAAAGAGAAAATTCGGTACAAGTCAAGCGTCTAAAATTTTGAATGGCGTTTATCGTTCCGATGCTGTAACAGCCAATTATATACCGTTCAGGAATTTTTGATATTAAAGATTCACCTCGTCGAAAATGTCGATTAAATTGGAGAAATTATCGAAGTCGACCGGCATGTTAGCAGTCGTGTTGACCATTTTCACAATAAAAATAATGGATTTCTTTTTCCCCAACATAGTATATCCATGCTTATATTTGGATCTTCGAAACATATTTAAAAAAATAATACAGTTGTGCATTAAAAATCGAAGGTGGCTTTTAACTCTTAATTTTTTATTCGATTTCGCCGTCGTCAACTCCAGAGATTAAGATGGTGCCATCTGGAGGAAAATAAAATATGGAAATTATGGAATATAAAAGTTGATGAGTAAGGGCTAGATGACACCATCTTGCGGAACACCCTTTTCTTTTTTATACCCTCAGCCTTATGGCTAATGAGGGTATAAAAACTTTGGGACGGTGCACATGTGCGTCTTCGAAATATTGGTTTTAGATCCCATGTTTCTTTGGACCAAATCGTTTCCGTCAATTTGGAGTCGAATGTCTGTTTGGCCGTCTGATGCGCACGCTAAATATCGAAGGTAGTAACCGATTTCATCCAAACTTTGCGCATCTTAATATTTCTTCCAAACTTAGAAGATGGGGAATATCGGTCAACTCCTTCTGGTACCTCCCATACAAAATGTCAAAATTATGCTAAATATTAATTTTATAATATCATGCGAAAGGATTATCCCATTTGAACCAAACTTTGAGATTAAGTCCGAAGCTGGGACCCAATGGTCCACAACTTCTGGTACCTCCTGTTCACAAATGTTTAAAATTTTCAATATTTATAAATCTAATATCAGGCGAATGGAATGCCTGTTTAACTAAATACCCAGACCACTGTAAGTGGGGCAATTCAACTCCAAGTGAGCAAAGTTTAATTTTACTCCCCTTTAGAATAGAATTTGTATATTTTTATATGGACATCAGCCGTTTGTTTTATTATAATACTAATCATTTTATAAATAAACAAAGGCACAACTACAATGTCAGATTTGAATGTCGGTGATTTCACATATCAAATTCAGTGTGTCAATTAAAAAGAAATATTGCAAGCCTTTGTTGTTGTTGTTGAAGTTGGATTTGCTGATAATTTGCTTTTATAAGGAAAAGAAATTAGGTCACACAGTATTAGTTGTAGGAAATGTGACGAATAAACAAAAGCAACAATTATGTACCCAATGTGTATACCCTTCACCATAAGGTGGAGAGTCACGTACGTTTGAAACATCTGGAAATATTCATCGGAGACTCCATAAAATATCCTTGATCAGCGAAAAAATGTATGTCGATTAAGAAATCTGCCCCTGTTAATTGAAATTAGGATTGAGATCGTAGTATTTATGATAGAATTTTGATTACATTTCTACTACTCCTAGGATATTTGATCCACCTATAGTTGTGTAAACGTTCTATACCCTCCACCATACATTAATTTATTCGGAAACCTTTTATGAGGACAATTTCAAAACCTGGAGATATATTGTAAATTATGTTATATGCCAGGTGATTTTATTCGTCATAGAAAAATAAAACAACGAATAGAAAAACATCGAATAGAAACTGTGTTTATAAAAATAAAATCTTTATGGTCTGATAATTGACTTTACTAATATGTAACGACCGATTTAAGGCCCTGACCGTGGTAATAATTTTCTCATTTTCCATTTCATTTCAGTGAATCTTCCGTGGACAGCGATGAATTGGCCGATCTGCAATTTCGCAAAGGTGATCCTCTAAAACGCATCCCAGAATCAGAACAAAACATATTCTTTTCCGATGAGTTGAGCTCCTCGGAATATCATGATGATCTAGATATTGAAATGGAAAATGGTGGCAACTATGAATGGGATCTTCTGATATTTACCCAACAATGGCCGGTGACCACCTGCTATCATTGGAGAGAAGAAGATAAAGATCATGAATGCAAATTGCCGGCAGCCAAGGAATTTTGGACTGTACACGGTGTGTGGCCGACGAAGAAAGGTCACATTGGACCTTCATTCTGTAATAAGACGGCAAATTTCGATATAAATCTGCTGGACGATATCAAGGATGAGTTGAATCATTTCTGGCCAGACATTGATGGTGAATCGAAAGGTGATTGGTTGTGGAAACATGAATGGCTGAAACATGGCACCTGTGCCGCTGCTCTGGAGGAGCTAAACAATGAACTGAAATATTTCTCTCAGGGTATAACGTGGCGTGAAGATTTCCAACTATCGAATATTTTGGGTAATTCTGGCATACACCCGGATTCAAATAACACCGTGGTGGCCATACACGCTGCCCTGGTAAAGGGTTTGGGCAAAAATCCTTCCATTCACTGTTTGTATGACAGTAAAAAGGACATAAGCTATTTGGAGGAGATTCGTATCTGTTTCGATAAGACGCTCAATGTCACCGATTGTGATGGCGTAAAACTTGGCAATGCGGTGTCTGTCGACTATCCTGGCGGTACGCTTATTTCGAATTGTCACATATCAAAACCGGTGCATTATCCCAGTTTGGTGCCGAATCGTCGACGCCAAGAGAAATCCAAATGGAAATTCCCCATTGTAAATCTATACAAGCTGGTACAATTTATTATGTGGTTTACTCTATAAGTGTCAGGTTATAGGCTTGTAAAGCCGAATGTATGATAAATATAAGGAAAATGAGGGAAAATGAAAACATAAATCAGAGGCATATAATTTAATTAGTGAAAGGAGAAAAAAACTACCAACAACAGAATTAATAAGAACAAAATGTATTTTTATTAGTAAATTCGAAAAAATAATGTAAAATTAATAATTTTATTTTTTATATACACACATACATATGGAAAAAATGATGATAACAAAATTATTGTAATGACATGTTATTATCAAAAATTTATTTTTTTGTATTATTTAAATTATATTTATTAATATTATTATTGCAAATGGAAATTCAATATCAATCAATTACCGTAACACTCATACGTAAATACATACACATATTATTTTGCAACATTTATTATATAACATTTCTATTGAAGGTATCATTATTGTAATTATTATCATTATTATTGGATTAAAATAAATCTAAAAGAACAAAGGTCTGACATTTATAAGTTAAACAGAAAAACCACGTGAAATTAAATTCAAATATTTTCTTGGGCCGTATTGGTGAAATTTATTGACGACGAATAATAAAAAAATATGTGAAAATTGTTGTATTGTTTAAATTTATTTTTAAATAAACTAAATAATAAATATAAAATCAATAGATTAAAATTAAACAAAGAATTTTTTTAAATGTTTATATATCAAAGTAATTAAGAAATTTGGATTTTTTTCCGGTATTGTATTTCGAACTTTTCTAAGAAAAAATGAAATGCCAAATTACAACTATGCTTTCTTACTTGGTCTTTCAATCCAATTCGTGGTCTTCCCCTTCTACGCGAACCATGGGGCATTCTCATTCATCCGCATAGCAAGGCCTAGCCACCGTAGTCGCTGCAGCTCAATACGACATACTATGTCGATGTCCGCGTATAAATTATAGAGCTCGTGGTTCATTCGACGCCGATATTCACCGTCGACGCAGATCGGCCCGTAGATATTTCGAAGAATTTTTCTTTCAAACACTCCAAGAGCTGCCTCATCTGCTTACGCAAGTACCCATGCTTCTGATCCATATAATAGCACGGGTAGAATCAGCGTCTTGTAATGTGTGAGTTTGGTTTGGCTGGAGGTGGCCTTGCTTTTGTTGTTTGCTCAGACCATAGTGATGTCATTCGTTTTATTTACGGCGGTGCCAAGGTATATAAAGTCTTTAACTACCTCGAAGCTGTAGTTTTCAAGTTCCACAGTTGGTCCGAGTCTACTGGACGTCTTGGGCGTTGATACCATCAGCTTGGTCTTCTCGCCGTTTACTGCCAGACCCACTTTGGCAGACTCCTTTTCAATTTGTTCAAAGGTGGCTGTTACCGCTCGCAATGTTCGACCCATTATATCGATGTCATCGACGTAGGCGAGTGTGTTGTTTGGTGTACAGAGTGCCATTTCTGTTCACCTTTGCGTCTCGTATGACCTTTTCCAGTAGGATATTAAAAAGATCAAACGACAAACTGTCACCTCGTCTGAATCCTCGTTCGGTATTGAAGGACTCCGATATGTCCTTTCCGACTTTAACTGCTGATCTTGTGCCAGTTAAAGTTATCCTGCATAACCCTACAATTTTGCAGGGATGCCGAACGTAGAGATGGCTTTATTTTGACTCCTGTACATCTCGATTTGCTCACGCTCACGTTCTTGTTCTTTCTGCTTTTTCTGAAAATACGTTTCTCCTCTCTCCTTTTCTCCCGATAATTCACGTTACGTGTTGCTACTGTCTGCAGGGTTGCCCTATACGCTGCGTTTTTCACATCAGTAGCATTACGACACCCCTGATCGTACCATGGGTTTCTTGGTAGTGGTTTTTGGTACCCAAGTGTTGCTTTTGCTGCAGTTTGTAGGGAGTGGGTAATTCTTTGCCATTGTGCGGAGTAGGCCTCGGCTACCTGTTGTGTTTGCAGCTTTTCGACGTCGAGTTTCCGTGTTGTTTTTGATCGCACCTTTGTTGCTACATAAGACGGGTGCGTACCTTGGCTGCCACAAGGTAATGGTCCGAATCGATATTCGTTCCAGGGATCGATCGGACGTCTAAAACACTGGATGAATGCCCTCCGTCTATCACAACATGATCAATTTGATTTCACGTTGCTGATCAAGAGAGATCCAGGTGGCCTTGTGTATATCGAGATGCTTGAATCTGGTACTGCTAACTACCATGTTTTTTGCTGCCCCGAAGTCAATCAACCTCATGCCGTTGTCGGATGTTTCTTCGTGAAGGCTGAATTTTCCGACTGTGGGGCCAAAGATATTTTCCCTTCCGATTTTTGCATTAAAATCTCCTAGCAGAATTTTAATGTCATGGCCAGGGCAACGGTCATATGCTGTTTCTAGGCTGTTTCTCGTAAAATATGTCGTTGGTCTGTTCATCTTTATCTTCGGTCGGAGCATGGGCGCAGATGAGACTGATGTAGAAGAACTTCACTTTTATACGGATTATAGCAATTCGCTCATCTACTGGAGTGAATCTGGAGAGAAGGACGGGCCAACCAAATGAAACCCTACCTAACTACCACTGAGGTCTAAATTTCAGCGGATCTACTATATTCAGTTCAATTTTCTATGTTCGGCTTAATTGTGGCGAATATAGAAAATCAACTAAAAAAAAAATTTCGACCCATTTCTTCCCCGATCATCTTCGAAAATTATAGAGTCGCTTTGCCCATAACCGGAACCTCATGTGAAGATGGAGACCCTTATGGGGAGATTTTAAAAATTGCAGGTAAAGTAAAGAATATGGATCGTACGAAGAGGGAAAACCTTGAAAGGGAAACCCTTTAACAGATCCCCTATAGATAAAATAATTTCTACAAGGCTTCTATAGGCAAAATATTTTCGAGATGAACACAGATGAACTTTTACAAAAGGTGTATTTTACATGTCTGCTGCAGCCAGAGAAACTTTAACAGAAACGGAAAACTTTTTATACACAGGAGACCCTTCACCGTTTTAATATATACAGATCCTCTTTAAAGAGAATACCTTCGACAGGTCCTTTATGGAAAAAAGATCTTCAGAATTGGGGTTTTCATAAAAACAATACCATCTACAATCTTTTAGAGACAGAAAAACTTTACCGGTCTTAAAATTTGGAATTTTTCTACTGAACTTTTATAGACATAAGGTGTCCTATGGACAAAAGAACTTCTATAGACAAAAAAACTCACACAGGTGTTTTCTGGAGAATGAGACTTTTTAGAATTTGCAGTCCTATACTATTCTTCTGAAGACCTATACAATTTTTTTTACAAACAGAAAATCTCTCATAGGTTCCCTATAGGCAGAAATACTTCTATAGGCAATAGAAGTCCTGTGTAAGGTCTACACACAGGACATCTATGGGCTATAAAACTCCTATGTAAGGTCTACACACAGGATTTCTATGGATAGAAGACATTTCACAGACCTTTTACAGCTAGGAAACATTATTGAAATTTTATACAGACTGAACAAAATCTAAAAGTTTTTTTTATAGACAAAATTCAGAATAGAAGTCTTCTGTAGAGCAATCTCCCTGCACCCAATCTCTGACAACCTTGTGAGCACGCTATCCCATAAAAAGAAGTCAAATGCGCCTTTGAAATCGACAAATGATTCAAGGACGTATTTGGAATTTGACCCGCTCAGTCTATCTTGCACATGCCACCACACGTCCACGTACCTCTACCCTCGGCAAAAACCGAACTGATACACGATCGTGCCTTCGCTGTAGCATTCCCTAAGACGTACAACCATCCTTTCCAGCACTTTTCCATGAACTATAAAAAGACGCACCTATACGAGCGCAGATCACTCTTCACGCAGGCACACTTCCATGCACACAGGAAGTAACCCTGACCATGTTATGTAGCTGGAAAGAACGAATTCAATATATTCCGGCATGATCTTCCAGATCTATATGATTCAAACCAGGTTCGGATTTTCTTTAGACAAAAGTAATTTTAAAACTCTTTCGTAATCATATATGGACAAAAGAACGTATACAGGTTTTCTATGGGTAAGAATACCCTTCAAAGGACTTCTATAAACAGAAGGCCTTATTACGATTTTCTATAGACAGAAAAAATTCTACAAGAATTCTATAGACGCAAGACTTTCTATCGACAGAAAATCTTCTACTGATTTTCTATAGACTAAAGAGACTTACTACAGGCTTATTCACTGGCCTTTTATAGACAGAATTCCTTTCACAGGTTCTCTAGGTAGTGGTCACAATCTATAGCTCCTCAAGAGAAGGGATATATTTTATATTTCTTCTATAAACTGGATATCTTCTTCAGAGGTATAATAACATCTACTAGTCTTCTATAAAGTTAAAGGTTAAAGGTCCTCTACAGACAGAATACCTAATATTCTTAGATGTAGAGCACCTTATCTTTAATTATGGTTCTCTGATGCGTCATTGCCCCAAATTTTAGTTTAGTTTATTTTTTTTTAGTAAATCGTCATAAAAAATAAACAAAATTTCGGATATGTTTTTGTTTTTATCTATGAAGGGCAATCTACTGTATCGGAACACACCTTAATTTTGATTCTAATTTTGCTAAATTCAACAAAAAAATTATCATATGTCAAGTCATAAAGATATAACAGTTAAATACGTAATATAAATTTTACTATGATATATTTTGGAGAAATGATTAGAATTAGTTGTGAAAATAAACTTGGTGAATTACGAACGTACAAAAATTTACTTCCGTTAATAAATTAAAAAAAAAAAACAGCTAATATTTATTAAATTTTTGTTAAGCAGGGCAATGCTACCTCTATTGAAATTGGTAGGAATTGAAAAATATACCGAAAAATTTAAATGGAAACAATTTAATTATTTTCTGAAATAATTCAGCTACTTGGTGCTGCGCTGTGTGTTGCTGTTATCGATGCCAGCTGTAATGTCTGCCAGCCGGGTAATAATGTGGCCTGTCATAGTCAAAATCGTTATTCGCCTTGTGTAAACGGTGTGTATTTTGAATATTTTCCTTTAAGGAATTAATATCACTCTGGTTTTCTTTCAAGGCCAACCCACCAAGGACTATAAAACTTGTCCCGAAAATTTCGTTTGTACTTCGGCCCTTTTGATATGTTATCCGCGTGAACATAATTTGGCACCAAGTTGTCAACGAATTGATGAAACCAATGTTGCACCGGATGATGGTAAAAACTGTGGCGTCTGTGATAAATATAAAGTTTTCGCTTGCCTCAATGAAACCACAATTGCCTTTTGTTTTGGTGAAGATCGGCCAATGGAGGGACACATATCCTATTGCCCGGAGAAAACAGTGTGTGATATCACATTGGAAAATGGTTTCTGTAATGATAAATCAGTTGCGCGGGTAAGTATGGGGAGGAAGGACATTTTTTAAGATTTAAAAATATATTTGCGCGTACTTTTAATAGAAAAGTAGTGCGATTTCTATACAAGTCCTTTTATTGGACTTTATAGGCAGGTTGTGGTCTTTTAAAGACCGTAAAGGTCTCTTATTTCGCATTTTACGCTTTTGCTACCTTAATTTGATCCAAACGTTATACATCTTAATATCTTCTTTATAAGAAGTTCAATGACATACAATAACGATCTACTCTTTCCACATCCTAACATGTTTCGATGTCATACAATATCGAGCTACTCTTTAAGGGATCTGAATAACAAGTAAATAAATCGTCAAGTTCGGACAGAACGAAATTTTGATATCCTCTACCATGAGGTGGGCATTCAAAATACCTAAAATCGATCGGGATTCTTAGGTGAAAATATTGACATACATGTAAACTACCAGAAGTTTGTTTAGCCTCTATGACAACAAAATATATATTGCAAATTTAGTTAGGATCTTCAACATACCGAAAATGTGGTGAGATCTTTATATGAGGGCTGTTAATGTATGGACCAATATTGCAAACTTTCGGCGAAGAAGTTTTATTTACTCATCAAGAACCCCGAATTTCAAATTGAAGTCACTCCGGTCGGAAAACCATATTCTCAACATTTCATAGATATATATTTTATTTTGAGATTTCGATATAGAATTTTCAATGCTATTTTTTTATTCTCATTGGATGTCAAATATAACTACCGTAAAGCAATATCTATCCCCGTTTTATATAGCTCGATATAGCCCCTCTACTCGATACTTTGAAAATTTAAAACATATTTTTCTGTCATAACATGTGTTTTTTCCTAGGAGCCCCAATAATTTTAGATATTTTAAATGTTAAGCTCATGGCGAAGGGGAATAAAAAGTTCGACACGACACATCATTTTTACTTATTTCATTTTTATTTTTTCTTCCAGCCAAGTTGTATTCCAGGAAACGGCGAAGTTGATGTTGCAACGAGCACTCCCATAATAACAACAACAACAATGTTACCTACCACAACCACAACAACGATGATACCCACCACAACTACCGTGATGCCAACAACTACGACTACAGTCAGTACAACAACCACAATGATGCCAACAACAACTACAACAGAAGCCATCACAACTACCACAATGATTCCAACAACATCCACAATGCCAACGACCACAACAACATTGTTGCCAACTACAACTACCACAGAAGCAACTACAACAACCACTGAATTGCCAACAATAACAACAACTACCACAATGATGCCAATCACTACAACAACAACGGAACCCACAACAACTACAATGCTGCCAACTACAACTACCACATTACAGCCAACAACCACTACAACAACTCTGGAACCAACTGCAACAACCACAACATTGGAACCCACAACTACCTCATTGGAACCCACAACTACCACATTGGAACCCACAACAACCACATTGGAACCCACAACTACCACATTGGAAACCACAACTACCACATTGGAACCTACTACTACCACTACAACCATGGAACCCACAACAACAACCACAATGCTACCAACTACAACTACCACATTAGAACCCACTACCACCATCACAACTATAGAGCCCACAACAACAACCACAATGCTGCCAACGACTACTACAACAACATTAGAACCCACTACAACAACCACGATGCAGCCAACCACCACAACCGAACCAACCACAACAACTACTACGACTGAAGTTCCCACAACAACTACCACTGAAGCCATCACAACAACCACAACGATGCTGCCAACACCATCCGGGCCACGTACACCAAATGAAATATGTCTCGACGAGGGAGTACCTGGATTTTTCCCACCCGATGATGATCCAACGTGTACCAAGTAAGTTTCAATTATAATAGAAATATTGCACGATTCACAGGAAATTTATATCCTCCACAGAGTGAGTAATTTAGATCAAAATACTTAGAATAGTTCGGGGTCCTATATGAATAATGTCTACATCCTATCCTACATTGGATAATGTCTGTTAGGAGCTTTTCCTTACTGAACAAACGAAATACCACATGACTGACTCTGGGGTCGGCTATGACATCCAAACATCGAAAATGGGTCAGTTATGTCAAAGTTTTTAACCACCAAAACCAGATTCCCAAATAAAAGCCACTTCGATTGGAAATAAGAGTCGGACAGGCCGACCATATGTGGTTTCTGCGGTTCTATATTCTGAGCCTGGGCAATATTTCGCGGTATTATGACAGATTATAGGTCCACTGCTTTACTTTCTAAATTTTGGCATATTTTCCAAATCTTGTTTACCCGAGGTGAATATTTCCGCCATAAAATAAAAAAAATGGTAACTTTAGGTTTTGGTTGATTTGACCCTCGAAATATTGACCGATAATTATTTAAACAACCCTTCTAAGTATTTGGTCAGATCCCCTTCACCGTGTAAAATATGTGAGGATCTGCATATAAAAACGGCCTCTAGAGAGACTAGAAACTCTGACAAAAATAAAGTTTTCGGTTCATTGCAACCCCTAATTATCATCTCAACATCACCGAAAACTGCAGGCGACCATAACCGGAACTTCATGTAAAATTTCAAAGCGAAAAGCGCAACATTTCCGCCCTATAATGTGGAAATAGGTTTGTAAATAATATCAGAATACGTAGACGCCTGTAAATATTTAAGTATAATTCCTACATCCGAAAAGATACATCACTGTAATTGGTATCAATTTAAAGGTCAACCACTCCCCTTGGATATACTATTAAGTTATCGGATGTAAACGATAGGGGTCTTCATTAGCCAGAACCCATCCTACATGCAAAATTTCGTGAAGATTGGTCCATAACTGTGGCCTGTATCGTGTTTACAAATTATAATGGACAGACGGACGGACACTCATGTCTAGATCGACTCAGCTATTCGAGATATGACGATCGGTATATTTAAAGGTGGGTCTAGGGCCAATATTTCGCGGCGTTACAAACTTTTGGGCTGCGCAAAGTTATAATACCCGGACAACATAGTTGTGTAGGGTATAATTATTAAAATATTGAAAATGGGAGGGACTTTATAACGGGTATGTGTCAAAAATACAGATGATGAGGTGGAACCCCTAATTTTAGTCTGTCCATTAACACCTGAACTGTCTACTTTTACATATATCGCTTGGAAAATTTTGTTAAAATTATTTAAATATCGCAAATAGGCGGATATATAAAAATTGTCTGCAAAAAGAGTGTTTTAACCACCAAAACCTTGAACGCAAAAATTACAGCTACTTCGGCACGGAAAATACACCTAGGATCAAATTACCTAAACTATGCAGGACCTTATGTATGGAATCTATATATTAAATATTTGGAATAACTATTAATCGGAAACAAATACATTACTAATACATACATTACATTTTTTTAAATTTGCAGCTTCGTTGTCTGCTATGGTAATCCATTGAAGGGTATGCTGAACACCTGCTCCACTGGACAATATTTTGATCCAGTGCTGAAATTTTGTTCAACAGAAATACCTCCAGGCTGTCCAGGGGGAAGTTCTACAACTAGTACTTCTACAACCACTGCACCCGAACCCATAATTACAACAACCACCACCACAACTACTACCACAGCAGCTCCTACAACAACACCAACCACCACAACTACGACAACTACTACTTCTACTACCCCGGCAGCACCTACAGAACCTCGTGATCCAAATCAAATTTGTGTGGATGCTGGTAGTACGGGTTCATATAAAACCGATGATGATGTTACCTGTACGAAGTAAGTAATAGATCTTTTTGAATCGATTTATGCATACCTTGTAAACAAATTTGTTATTCGAATGAGATACAATTTGACAGAGCTCATTTTTATACCCTCATCCTAATGGCTAATGATATCAATTTTAAACCACAAGTTTTTTTTTCGACGAAATCCGTTTTGTAAATCCAAATGGAATGTACGGTACAAAAATGGTACACATCGTTTCTTATGTCGCTAAAGGACTATAGGACTCTATTTTACATGATTTCAAAGGTAAATTCATAATGCCTCTTTCATAGAAGTACTGCTCTATATTTGCAAAAAACTCTAGAAGTCGCTTTTCACAATCATCCATTGTAAACCAAGTACAGGTCGCATTTATGATCCGAATTGGATCATAAATGCGACCTGTGGCACAGCTCATTTGTTTGGCCCAAGGACGAACCCTACTGAAATTGGGAAAAATCGGTTTAGATATAGCTCCCATATATATTTTCGTCCGATTTAAGGTAAATGGTGCACCAAAGTCCCTATATATCTTTTGATTTGCACGAAATTTGACACAGCGTAATGAATAAGGTCTAGAATGATGTGTACAAAGTTTCATGAAAATCGGTTCAGATTTAGATATAGCTGCCATATATATCTTCGCCCGATTTCAGGTAAATTGTGTACCAAGGTCCCTATATATCTTTCGATTTGCACGAAATTTGGCATGGCGCACTGAATTAATTCTAGAATTATGTGTGCAAAGTTTCGTGAATATCTGTTAAGATTTACATATAGCTCCCATATATAGCTTCGCCCGATTTTAGGTAAATAGTCCACTGAAGTCCCTGGAAAGCTTTTGATTTGCACGAATTTTGGCATAGCGTAATGAATTAAATCTAGAATGATGTGTGCAAAGTTTCGAGACAATCTCGATATAGCTCCCATATATATTTTCATCCGATTTTATGTAATTGGTGCACCAAAGTCCCTATATATATTTCGATTTGCACGGATTTTGGTATACGGTACTGAATTAAGTCTAGAATGATGTTGCTAAGCTTCGTGAAATGATCCATAGCTATGCCGATTGATACAACGTACTGATGTAATATAAATTAGTCTCTGGCAAGTTTCCCTGAAATCGGTTCAGATATAGATATATAACTAAAACGCGTCGTCTGTTGGGATAAATATGTAGAATATACCCAAAGTGGTGAAGGGGATCATATAGTCGGTCCAGTCCGACTTTACTACTTTCCTTACTGGTTTAACATTAAAGAAATTTTGCCATGCAAGAAAAATATGATAATCGCTTAGTGCCAAGTCCGGGAAGTTTTAAAGCATCCGCCATACAGGATGCATTAAAACTTCCCAAACAAGCGTTGTCCTGGTGGAATACGATACCTCTCCTGTCGGCCAATTCTGGCCGTTTCTGTTCAATTTCTATCTTCAAGCGGTCCAGTTGTTGAACATGGAGATCAGAATTTAGAGTTTGGCCATATGGAAGCAACTCATAATAAATAATTCCCTTCCAGTCCCACCAAATGCATAGCAGAACCTTCCTGGACGTTATTCCTGGTTTGGCCACCGTTTAAGGTGCTTCACCGATCTTTGGCAACGATCGTTTTCGCACAGGGTTATCGTATGTGGTCCATTTCTCATTTCCAGTAACCACCCGTTTTAGAAATTCTATCTCATTCCGTTTGACCAAGTCTTCTCAGATGGAAACTTGATCCATCATATTTTTTTCTGTTATTTGGTGTGGCAGCCAAACATCGAGATTCTTTTTGAATCCAGCTTTGTGTAAATTGTTTAAAACAGTTTTATCGTCGAGTTTTAGATCCTGGGCGATGTTATGACTGCTAACATATTGGTAAACTTCGATAATTTTTCCGATTTTATCGATATTTTATATTATATAATATTTACCAACCCCTAATGAAAATCGAAGATGGTGCCCATCGATCCACTGGAGTATTGGATTTGATAAAAACATATACATTAAATAAACAGGATGTTGAACCTGTGTGGTATAAATCTACCAGCCCTAAATTTTTATACCAATAATAGATTTAGTGCAACTGTCGAATACATAGGTCAATCATCGCTGGTACTTTATCCATCAAAGTCATGATTAGTGTGTAATACATACGATATGTCATAGGCTGAGGGTCCATATCTATTGTCAATACCGACTGACACTTTTTTATACATTTTTTATTACAGATATGTACTTTGCTATTTGATGAGCGGCAAAATTTATGGATTAATCAAGAGCTGTCCAGGTGGAGAATATTTTGATCCAGTCAATCGCATATGCACTAGCCAAAAGCCTGAAGGATGCCCTTAGAATGGAGTTGATACACAATTTGAAATGGATTTTAATAAATCGAAGTAAACAATATCCTCCATGAACATACATGCAAAATAAAGTTTTGACAATATACACAAAAATAAAAAAAATAATGTCTATTCAATTATTAAATATATATGCAGGCAGTTATAAATTATCACGTCGTGTTTTATAGCACTTGAACTTAGCTACAATGTTGCTATTAATAAACATTTCATGGATTTCTCAAAACTTCCTATAGCTATGACGATAATAAAATAAAAAATCAATAGGTAAACTCCCCTAATTTTTATTTTTGTCAAAACGTATCACGAGTCTGAATAAACAAAACATTGAAAGTCAACGAACATCGGTCGTCACCGAACACCGTGTTAAGCCAATTTTATTAGATGTGTGAACGGGATCATATAACTTGGCACCGTTATAAAACAATAAACGAGTTTATTAGTTTGTTTTAGATAATTTTAGGGATTGTACAAATTGGCGAAAAGTGTTTTGATTTTTTTTACTTTAAAGTAAATAAGTAATGACGGCCTTCTGATTGGCTGTATTGAGCATTAGATAACATACATCATTTTGAATTATTTTTATATTACTCTGTTATGTTCAATTTTTTAATAACAAATAATGAAAAATTATATCGTAGTAAAGAGTGCGTAAATGATATGAAGAAAAATCATGGAAAATGCTGACAAAGGCTATAGTATTTAAAATACGTCATGTATCGTACAATCTCATCCCTAACTCCAGCAGAGTTGTGACGCTTTTGTGAAATGTGCTTGTCATCTATTTCTAAGCGTGTTCTATGACAAATAAATATATTTATTGTTTATCAGATATATCGTTGTATGTATGCTTAAGTGTTCCAAATATTTCCACCATAATATGGATTCTCAATATAGGTCTTTTTTTTGGGACCTAAACCTCATATGTGTGTTGGCATTTTGGTTACTCAGGCGGATATAGACCTTTGCGAAAATGTTTTATATAGGTAAATATCATGACATATCCACTACAGTGGGTGTCAACTTTAAAGCAACCGAAGTGACTGTAATATACTGGATGGTATAAATGTCTCAATTTTATGTAAGAGAGCTGAGGGGAATGGCAACCTCTCTCACACAAAACTGACAATTGCCCCACATAAATGTGCCTAATGTAATTTTTGGCATAAGAAGTGCTTTTTATCTTTAATTGGTTTAATTGTTGTTAGCCGAAAGAGTACTGCGAAATCTTAGATTTATGTATGGGGATCGATGACTGAAGGTTTTTTTTATAATTTCTAATCAATCGCCCATGTGCTGCATTTCGAGTTTGCTCGGATGGGAAACATTTTCCCATATTTGGTGTGCTCCATTCCGAATTCCCAAAAAAATATTGGGAATATAATTCGAGCACATATAGCCTTTTGGATTGAAAACGAAATGAGATCGTACGTGTTTTTATGAGCACGTACAAGTTTAAAAAGAACGCTGAAGTAATATATAACGTGTTTTTACAATATTTATTTAAAATATACAGTATTTACATTAGTTTTTATAGTAAAATTAAAGAAAATAAAAAAGGCTCCTTTTATCAAAAACAGCGCGTAACATTTTCGAGATCAATCTGGCAACTCAACCACCATATGATCAAAATAAAAATAGAATCTATAAGAAATATACTTTTAAGATTTCCAATAGTCCTTTTAATAATGTTTCTTGCAGATGTGTGCACTTTATTATATCGATGTTTCTAAAGCGTAACCACTGTCTTCTAGAAGCCAACCATTTTCCATACCATTTCCTCTTTTGTTAATGCTGCCTAGCTGCACTCATATGCCAAATAAAAACATCATGGCTGGGTCCTGGTCTGCAGCTGTCCACAGCTTGCACACACTTTGTCTTCCAGGACTTTCATTACACTCCACAATATTTTACACGTTGTTGGGCGATCAACACATATATTTAAATCATTTGCCACTACCCTCTGAAACCCACCAACATCCAGAAATCTTAAGGTAGCTGCTAACTGCAGGCTTTCGGGAATGGTACCCTTGTGTATGAAAGGAAAAAATATCCATAAATACTGGAACGTGTTACAGTATCATTAGACTTTTTCTGGTAGAAACCAGAAACCACTTTCGCACTTTCGCTCGAAATTGAGCACACCATTTTGCACAACATGGGAATTTAAAAAAGTATGGGAATTCAAAAACTCTCGGAACATGTCACATGGGAGAATACAAATATTATTAAATTTTTATTCCATTTGCAACATATTGAAATATTCTAAATAGACCATATAGCATATACGGTGAGTTAAAAAACTGCAACAAAGTCAAACACCAAAATTTATAATTTTTTTAAATTTTATTGAATGAAAGCAACAAATGCCGCAAATAGCATCAAATTTTAGAATAAGGTTAGATTTATTCGAATTGGTCACCTGTGACACGAATTATGGCCTTCAAACGGCCAATGAAACCGTCACACGCTGCCCGAATGTTGCTCTGCAATATTTTGACCCATTCCCGGCGAAGCGCTTGCTTGTGGTTATCGACACTTTGGTATTTTTAGTGCCAATCATGCATTCCAAAAAACTCCAGACACAATATTCCAACGGATTGGTATCTGGAGATTTTGGTGGCCATTGTACTCTGGAAATGAAGCGAGGAACCTCATTTTGTAACCATTCTTGTGTGTCGCTTGCTGAGTTCGATGGTGCTTAGTCCTGTTGGAATGTCCAAGGACTGCGGCCAAAATGTTTGCGTGGCCAAGGCTTTAATACGCCCTCCAGAATATTTTCGTGATAAAATTCGGCATTTATTATACCAAAGGTGCATATTTTCAGCTGACCTCTTTGGCAAGTATACACGATCATTTTGTTCGTTTACAAGCTGCTGGACAACGAATGTTTTCTCATCAAAAAAAAAAAAAAAAAAAAAACGAAGCAACTTTTTAGCTCTTTTGAGTCTATTTTCTTTCTGCGGTGCAAGTTCTTGTATTTTTGGAATTTCAATTGGATTACCACGAGCTCATTTTTCGTCCACTGCGGCGCGGGTTTCGAACAAGTCGCTTCTTTACATTTCGAACCATTTTTGATTATGTTGCTGTTTTCTTCTTTTATGACGTCGGGCTACGCTACCAGTATCACGGTAACGAGCAATGGTACGAGACACAAACGATTTATTCACATTTAAATTCTGAAGTGTCCATCCGTTCCTTAAAAATGTGTTTTTCAAGATTTTCGCGTATTTTTCTCAAAAAATTCTTTCATAAAATCCTTCCCACTTCAATTAAAGATAAATAAAAGAAATTTTTAGTCTCTCCGTTCTCAATTATAAGAAGATTTAAATTAATTTTACTTAAATTTGATTAGTTTTTTTTTTTCGTTATTCACGAAAACAGGTTATGTATGAATCGGTGTCGGATTACTTAACGTTATTTAAGCACGCAATCTCTAATCGGGCAAAACGCAAAGAAAATATATAGAGCGAAATCTGTCGGACGAAATTTAAGGGGACCCCCCATTCTCGGGGTCAAATTTTTTGTTGATATGATTCGAATCTACACTGATTAAAGAATGTCTCTACAAAATTTGAAGTGAAAATCTCAAGAACTCTTGAAGATATAGCCGATTTATTTTGTCAGCATCAAGTGACGGCTGAAGGGCTTCTCAAACTTTAAACGCGTTTTTCTCTTTTGCGAATGGCGGGCACGATAACTCAAAAACTAATAATCTAATCGGTTCCAAATTTTGCAACGTTTCTCTGGGAGTGTATAGCTCTCGTATGAACTAGGATAAAGCCAATCGGTGAAGATCTTCCTTATTTTTTAAATTGGTTTTTGGTAAAAAATCGACGATTTTAAAAAAATATTTTTTCAAAGGTCCACCATTTTGTTAATTTTAGAGCGAAGTCAATAATCCTAGTTCATACGGGAGCCAGATATGTACTCTTTCTAACACCGTTGGAATTTTCGGATTCCGATGTTCCAGTGAGGAGTTATCATGCCCGCCATCAAAAATAAGGACTTTTCTTTAATTACAAAAAAACAACAACAAAACAATAACAACATTTTTTTGTAAATTATTGTTCTTCTCTTTTAAATCTTCAAATATATATGTGCAAAGTTACAAACCTTAACAAGCATTGGTATTGATTTACCAGCCCATTAAAAATCTTGAAAAATTAAAATCGAGAATGGGTGGGGTTCCCTTAAATTAAACAGAAATACTCTTCACGCCCCATAGATCATATACATAAAGTTTGGTCAAAATCAGAAACACTCTTCACGCCCCATAGAGCCTGTACATAACATTTTGTCAAAATCGGTGCAGTAGTTTTTGATTTTAGCGATCACGAACATGCACGTAATTTTTATATATATAGAGATATAGTAGCATTTTCAAAAAGAGATAGATATAATATTTTATTTCAGATTCCAAATTAGTAAAAAAAACTTTTCGCAGGAAATACTCAACAGGGGTTCATATAATTTGTTCAAATACTAATCAAATATATATTTTTCAATAAAATCTCTATCCTCATACACCTTTTTAGTATCATCCATAAAATTCGTCTTACTCCACAAAATATGAGATGGTTTGATGAGTAATTTTAATTTTCAACTGAATATTTTGAATACACTATTTTATTGAAGTCAATGGTGTAGTCTTATCAATCTGATCCTTAATTTTATTGGTAGATTTTTATAGTTTATTTCCTTCTTTTTGTGACATTAATATACTCCTAAAAAATCTAGTATTTACATATTTACATTTTCAAAACTTTCCAAATATCCCAAATACCTATTTGAACTTTGCAATCAGTTGCCGGTAAACAAAATCTTTTGCTCACATTTTTATACCCTCCACCATAGTATGGAGGGTATATTAATTTTGTTATTCCGTTTGTAACTCATCGAAATATTAATTTCCGACCCTATAAAGTATATATATTCTTGAATAAGGTAAAATTCTAAGACTATATAGCCTTCTGCCTGTCCGTCCATCTGTCTGTTGTAATCACGCTATCTTCTGAAGGAATTGAGATAGGGAGCTGAAATTTTGCATAGGTTTTTCTTTTGTCTGCAGGCAGGTCAAGTTCGAAGATGGGAGTGGACCGATATTCCCCATGTTCGAATTTGAACTAATATTGGATGAAATAATAAGATGGGCAAAGTTTAGATGAAATCAAACAATTTAGAAACAAATTTGGTCCAAAGAAACATGGGGTCTAGGACCAATATTTAGAACCATAATCGGTTTGTAAAATGTCGTTGTAGGTACACATTTTGGTATGTTCCCTATATTTTTATTTCAAGTAACAGCTTGTATATCTATGGTGGAGCGTATCCAAAGTTCGGCCCGACCGAACTTAACGCATTTTCACTTGTTATAATTATTTCCCCTGATAATTTAAAATGGTGATCTTCTTGTTGTACCCAAATTGCACGACCATCGATTTTGATTAATCAATAACCCAAATATAGTCAAATGATTTGTTTCTCCGTATCGCATAAAAAAATCTGTGATAAACAACATAAAGATATAAACTATCAGCAAATCTTATCACGATAAGCGATGCGATACGATAAAACTTCATAAAACTCTTCAATTTTACGAAAAAGGTTTGATTAATTTCCCAAGTGTTGCTGTAGGTTGTACTAGTTTTCGGAACGGCAAACAAGTGAACGGTGAACAAGTGAAAAATTAATCCAAAAAAATTGAAAATTTCTAGAAATTATGAAATTTCTATTAGCAAGTGTAAGTGAAAAGAAAGGAATTGATTTTTATACAGTGGAAATAAATAATGTTTTGTTTACAATATTAATAGGTGCTATTCGCCATTTCCGTGACCACCATCAATGCGTATTGTAATGTGTGCCAGGAGAGCAATCAAGTAGCCTGTCATGGTCTTAATCATTATTCATTGTGTGTAGATGGTAAGTATATCAAATGGGATTTTGGAGATTTTCGTAAATCGGCTTCAAATTGTCTGGAACGGATTTCGATGAGGCGCATTTTTGGGGGTATCCTGGTTTCATATTGAATATTTTTAATATTTAAGGTCTCTTTTACAATATTATTTTTATATATCCAATTTTCGCACCTTCGTCATATTAAAAAATTATTATTTTTATTGTCCACATAGGTGTTCCCACTGCATATTATAAAACATGTCCTGGCGATTATATCTGCACGGGCGGTGAATTAATTTGCTATCCCCCGAATGGTGACAATGTTGCCAGTTGCCCACTGGCCGAAAATGATGAATTAATGCGTGAGGGTCTTCAGTGTGGTATCTGTGATGAAGACAAAGTGTTTGCATGTCTTAGTGAAACAAGCTATAGTTTCTGTTTTGGTCAAGAATCCATAGTAGCTAAACCAGGTGATCTTGTCATGGACTGCCCGCCAAATACTGTTTGTAATATAAATTACAAGGCGGATTTTTGCTATGATAATACATTGGCTAAAGTGAGTATAAAATAGGTCATAGAATCATTTTCTGAGTCGATATATTCATATCTGTCCGTCCGTCCGTCTGTCCATGTTAAATTGTAAACAAATTACAGGTCGCATTTATGATCCGAATTGGATGAAATTTAGCACAGCTCATTTATTTGGACCAAGAACGAACCATATTGATATTGGAAAAAATCGGTTCAAATTTAGATATAGCCCCCATATATATTTTCGTCCGATTTAATGTATATGGTGCACCAAAGTCCCTATATAACATTCGATTTGCACGAAATTTGGTATGTTGTAGAGAATTAAGGCAAGTTTCGAGAAAATCCGTTCAGATTTAGATATAGCTCTCATATATATTTTCGTCCGACTTAGGGTAAATGGTGTACCAAAGTCTCTGCATACCTTTCGATTTGCACGAAATTTGTCACAGCGTAATGAATTAAGTCTAGAATGACGTGTGCCAAGTTTCGTGAAAATCGGTTCAGATTTAGATGTAGTTCACATATATATTTTTGTTCGATTTTAAGACCCAAAGTTAGGCCGATTTGCACAAAATTTTGCACAGTTACTATAGTATAATAACATGTGTCAAGTTTTGTTGAAGCCGGTTCAGATTTGGTTATAGCTCCCATATATATTTTCATCTGATTTAATGTCATGCAGATGCAGACATAGCTTTCATATATATTTCTAACGGGTGTCTGATTGGGATTAAATTTTGAACAGTGCAGCATACCTATAGCGTGTATCAAATTTGCGTTAAATCGATTAGTTCCATTTTACGCAAACGACTCTAAGCCTGCCCGAATGAAATGAAATTTAGCATAGGTTGCAGAAAGGCATGTGTATGGATTGATGTTAGTCGATCACATATATTAAGTTCGTTCAATTTCATGTCAATGTTCCTTCGAGGAAACACTGACATATACCAATATGGTGAAGGGCATTATATGGTCGGCCCAGTCCGACTTTACGGCTTTCCTTACTGGTTTCATTTTTGTTTTGTTCTTATTGCAGCCAAGTTGTGTTCCACCTCTTCCCGATGAAGATAATATTACAACAACTAAGGAACCAGAAACAACAACCACTGAATTGCCAATTACAACAACCGAAATACCAAAAACAACAACTCGATTACCCACAACTACAACCGAATTACCTACAACAACTACTGAATCACCAACTACAACAACCGAAATACCGATAACAACAACTGAATTACCTACAACAACAACTGAATTACCTACAACAACAACTGAATTACCTACAACAACAACTGAATTACCAACAACAACAACCACCACAATACAGCCAACTACAACAACAGAAGCTATAATTGAAACCACAACAATTCCTGAGGAGACTACCACGGAGAGCACAACCATGTCCCCGACCACCATTACAACCACTACTGAAGAATCCACAACAATTTCAACTACCACCACCAGCGTCACAACAGAAGAACCTACCACAGAATCAACAACGACGACGTCAACAACAACAACAACAATGATTCCCACCACAACAACAACATGGACCACACCTATCCCCACTACAACAACAACTACGACTACCATGTCCACTCCAACGATACCACGTGACCCCAATCAATTATGTCAGGATGAGGGAGCCACAGGCTTCTACAAACCCGATTATGATCCCAGCTGTAATACGTAAGTTAGCCTTTGTAAAATGTCCTCTCCCGTAATGTAATTTTTAATCTCCCCTTTAGATACATCATGTGTTATGGTGTAACATTACAAGGTATGATAAAATATTGCCCTGCTGGCCAATATTTTGATGGTGAGCGGAAATTCTGTACTGCGGACAGACCAAGTGATTGTTTGATCGAAGTTACAACAACGACTAAGAATCCAAATGCACCGCTAACAACAACTTCTGAGAATCCAAATATTCCTGAAATTACCACTACAACTACGACGACGATTACAACAACTACAACACCGGTAATTACATCGACGACAACAACTCAAGCACCACTTCCAAATCCTCCTCGAGATCCCAAACAAATTTGTCAAGATGCTGGTGCCAGTGGTTCGTATATATACGATGCTGATTGTACAAAGTAAGTCAATACGATCTGCTTAATTTTTAAATATCCCTAAATTAATTTTTAATTCAATGTAAACATAAGAAGACTTCAGATTCTTTTGTAAACGTTATTTTTAACTGACTTGACAGAATCGAAAAGTTATTTCTAACCTCGAACCCATTTTCTATATAATGACGATAAATACTATATACCTTTTTCTTGCAGATTCGTAATGTGTTACATTTTGAATGGAATTTTGGATGGCATTCTAAAATCATGTCCCAGTGGTCAATATTACCATGATGATACAAAATTGTGCATCAATGTCAAACCCGAACGTTGTCTATAAATATCGGTTGTGTTAAAAAAATACAATTTAATACACATATTATTTTTTTATTAAAATAAATATCAAACATCCGAAGCAACCAACACTGCTATTATTTAGAGAACATCTTATATATAAGAGTTAATGAAGACCCAGACAAAACTTGTCTTGAAACGTTATATTGGTGCGTAAGTATGAAATCTTCTGAAATTCTCGCCATAAGGTTATGACAAATATATGGTTACCCATTTCGTAGTTTCAAACGGATTTTTCATTTTATATTTTTTTATATTTATCGAAATATTGGTTTTTCTTTGGACAATATAAATTTCAGACAGTTTGGAGTCAATTTACAAATGTCCGTCTAGCTTTCTGGTGCGCACGATAAGCCTTGAAGTGAGTAACCAAAGTTTGGACATCGTAATATTTCTTCCAAATTTAATTCAAGTTCGAAGATAGATGAAATACACTTATTGTCCGGTAATGGACACCTATTGCCCGAAAATGAAGAATACAAGAAAACAGCCATTTTCTGTAAATGTGGCAACTTTGTCAAATATATTGGACACAATTAGATAGAGGATGTACTTAACTACATTCGAATTATTCATGCATCGAATTATTCATGCATCGAATTATTCATGCATTCGAAATACACTTATTGTCCGGTAATGGGCACCTATTGCCCGAAAATGAAGAATACAAGAAAACAGTAATTTTCTGTAAATGTGGCAACTTTGTTAAATATATTGGACACAATTAGATAGAGTATGTACTTAACTACATTCGAATTATTCATGCATCGTTACGCATTAAAGAAGAAGAATCTATAATAACAACGATTTTCTGTAAATTTGACAGCACTGGCAAACATTTGTCGTCAGCGCCATGTAGATCCAAAAATCAATTATACAAAATTTAAACTTCATTTGTTTTTCCTACTGTAGATACTTAAATGAAATTCGTGGCATGGGGGAGATATAATTGTATACACTTGTGAACTAACAAATAATAATTATTTAACTTTTAAATATAAAATGTGTATAAAGTTTCATTTAATTTCCATCGGTTGTATTTATTTTAATTTTTTTAATTTATTTATTCACAATAATTTCAAAGTCCGCAGACCACATTTAAGAAATTACCAGTCTACAAATCTCATAATTACACTTATAATAAACAATAACGCGAAAATCCTCGACTATAAAATAAAACAAGAAAATCTTAACAATCACGATAACAATTGCGGGCCAAGAATAATACATGTACATTTCACTAACTTGACAAGCAATACTAGTAAAAGTAGTAATTATTCACAGAAACCCAAACAAAAATTTTGACTGCAACTAAGATTCTACTCGAAGATCGAGC